ACGTCATCTGTAGACAGGCGCGCATGTGTCCGGGAGAGCGGTCGGCCTGGCCCGTGTCCGGGCGGCGGGAGAGGAGCTATAGAACGGCGATTACGCCGAGTCGGCAACCAACTCCTGCCATGGGTGCTGCAGGGATAGCTGTGCGTGCATTCATATAATCTAGCGTTATTTTGTGGTAAGGCGCCGACGACGCGCAGATAAAAATGTTTCTTCTCCTGTACTTGCACTCGCTCATTCATATGCTCATTCATACGCATTCGCCGGACCGCGGCATTCGACGACCTGCAGAGCCTTCAGCAATCTTTGAAATTCCAACGAAGTTGGAAGATCCTGCCTGTCGTACGCTAACGAGTGGCTGATTGGCTGTCCAGGTCACGTCGGTGACATGTCGACATGTCGACGTGTCAGGCGCCCGATAATGTACGCTTTTCTTAGAATATGCTTTCTAAAAGCCTCCCGTTTACCTCTGATTCCATTTGTGTTGGCGCCCATGCTGTCATAAACGTGGAAACAAATGCAGTTAAGTCAGGCTGTTCAAGACAAGATAGGATGAAGTGCACCAAACAAGCAAATATAGGGAAAACGTCTTTGAACATTCATGATCCCGCCAAGTGTGTCTTTTGCCAGACCTAAACATACATAAGTTGTTCGGCGCGATTACGAGGAGAATCACGTCTTCTAAGGCCTAGTCCCATTGGCCATATTCCTGGCTGACGGATGATGGCAAGTTGGACAAAGACAGTTAAACTGATACTTCGATAACGGCCTGAAGCCGAAATATCAACACATACCTCCTGCTGTGTTTTGCCTTGTCGTGGTCCTTTAACCGAGAATAAGGTCAGTTGTAATGGTCTGAAATATCATACAATTTGACAGCTAACATCCGCCGCGCCTGTTTGTTGGTGGACCACGTGAAGCTCTTGAGGTAACGGCTGGCGTCTCACGCACACAAGGTAAAACATGACGGGACGTCACAAGTGACATCCAGCGATGGGCCGATTGTTCAGATATGACTCAGTTTAGGGGGGGAATGGGAGGCGGGGGGGGGGGACATTTTTACTATACCCACTATTATCGCTCGCATAGTTGGGCGTGTCAAGACTTTATGCTTAATCACAGAACCATGGTCTGGGCGATAATCTTATGCCATAAGACTACAAACCAAATCTTTTGGGAAGAAATTACTGATGGTGCCGAGTGGTTGTCCTCGAGCGTAATGCCGAATATTGATTACATTTAACAATATGCTGCGATGCAGTGTCAGGTTTCAATGTTCATGTATTCGGTTATTTGTTTTGTATTCGTGTTCACTTCCACACATATCCGCTGTACAAGCACACACGTGACTCTGCCCGTGCCGGTCGTTATGCAAAATACCGGTAGTTATGCAAAATGCCGGTCGTTATGCATTAATTATTTATGCTTAAAGGGATGTTCCACATTTGAAGACATTAAAGGAGACATCCTATATGATGAAATAAGCCCACTTACGATTATTGGCATGCTTTTAACCCGAGAAGACTGCTCTGGACAACACAATTTCTCTATTTAGTCAATGCATCTTTGAATACGTCATCGCTCAATTGCGTCATGGAACGTTTGTATGACGTTGAGGTGCTGCCAAACTAGCCGTGCGAAATTGCTAACCTGACGCTTGTAGTAATTCTTCGCTCGAGAGGTGGCCAGAGTGGCGCTGGAGGTGTGGCCGTGTTGGTGCTGAACCAAATATCTTGACGTGATCGTGTTTTGGTATTTTGTTGTGGTGTTCTTGCATCTTCATCGATGAGTTAAAGTTTACTTGCATTCACATATTCGGTTTGGGCACTATTCTTAAGTTATTTGATGGCAAATCTTATTTCCGTAATGGTCGGTAAGGGTATCCAACTTCTTGAAATGTGTAGCACAACACGTGATTCGTGATTGAAACTTACACAGCCTGCACAACACTGGTTGAGAGCCAATTGATGACCGTTATGTCTGGAAATCGTGCTCACAAACGCCAGCTATGAACGGCTCGACGACTATGTTCTGGTTTGTCATAAACGTTATATGGCCAATGGGGTGGCAGGATTTCAGTGACGTTTCTATGGCGTCATGCATGCCTAAATGACCTTGAAATAGTCGCAAAGTACAGGGCGCTAACAAACTCAACGAACATTGCACGCACCACCACGGACATCCGTGGACTATCCGCCCTCTGAAAGGACATGCTTCTGTGGACGGACTGGAGCGGTGACGTTTCAGAGGGCGTTTTTGTCGCCATCCATCAATCCGTGGACGTTCAGTTGGAAACGGTGTCCCCTAAAGAGACGTACGGCGGCGGTAGACGAGTGAGCCGAGCCGGCGCACGAGCAGCGTCGCTAGTCCGTGTGGTCAGCGTCACGCCGGCGGCACACGGACATCAACAAGCAGCCCAGAGTGGGGCCGCACGGCCGCTTGCACCGCACCCCTGGGGACCGTGAGTACGCCGCTGGGTGGGGGTGGGGCGGCAGCCGTGCACAGCGGGGCGGGAGCACCATCACGTGGCCCCGGGCCGACGCCGGTCGTCAACCTTCATGGTTGATTTGAAGGAGGAAGTGGATGCTTGCTCGTGACGTCATTGGCTTCACTTAACATCAGCACAACTACAACCCAACTGCACAGACGTAGGAAGAAAGTGTTTGTCGTTCCCGAAACGATATTTCCTGGGATATCGATCATTTCGTGCTAGGTTTATTGCATCAGATTTACAAGCCTATGTCGAACATCAGGCTATACGTGAATCAGCCGCAGTACGTGGACAAGGAAGTAAACCCTTGCAAGGGTAGAGACTAACTGGGGGGACGCCAGGGCTTTTGAAGTGTATCATAGGAAGAGAGCAGCATGCGTGGAATGCACGGACGTCTAGTTATGTTCTGTTGTGAGGGCCCTGTCCCCCTCGAATTCTGAATTGCCCCCTAGGCTGGCCTGGACCACCAAATATTCTTTTGCCTGAAATATTACAAAAGCAAAGAGAAAAGTTGGCAATCACACAACCACCACTTTCTTGATCCTAGCAGTGGCGAAGCCATGGTCGGTGCAACTGGGTAACTTGACCACCTTATTTTATCGAATTATTGGGTAACTAAAGACGTTGGCGCTGAAACATTTCACATTTGTTTTGTTTTTGCTTTTTCTGTTAAACGAAAGCCCAAACGCTTTTTCTACCCACGGCCCAAACATGATATTAGCGCCATGATTCACGCTTCTCGTGATCTCTTTTATGATGCATTGAGACATTTGCCCCCCCCCCCCGCAAATGGTGGGATACGAACCTAACATTGCTTTACTTAAAGTTGAAGCCAGAGGTGTTTTAGCATAAATTCTCATGAGAAAACGAAGTCGGGCGGCGTATTATTTTGGCGCGGTGTCGTTAGTCCGGATTACTGGTCCAGATCAGCCAGAAAATGATAAACAATACGGCAAAAAGCATTTTGCTAACTAAACCCACCATTCCATTACTGTACCACACGTTCAAAGGATCCATTTTGCCTCGGTTGTGATTCAAATGTTACAAAAAAGCCTTTACCGTGCCATGCCACTACATGACCTTCAGCTTCCCTGTAACCGAGCTGACATTATCAGCCAAACGCCAAGTGGCTGTCTATGACGAGCCATATACGAGCATTTACTCTGGAAGGCGAGCCTGCCAACACGCGTTTTGCCGCATCACGAATGTGGTCAGTATAACTTCAGTGCTCTACAGAAGTCGGGCTTTCACCACGAGCGATGTGTCTACACGTCGACACATTTCTTTTTGCGAGCATTACTCATTGCATCCAACTGGTTCGGAGAAGTGCGATGTCTGTAAACTGCCCCATTGTCACGTGGAATATCAGTTGACTATCTGTGTCAATTAGTATCACCAGTGACCTAGAAAGCAATCAAGCATAGCTAAACTCGAATAAATGTATGAAACCATTAATTGGAGCAATGGTATTGTGTTCGACATCCCTTATTTTTTTCGGTGTCACATTAAGGCAACGTTTGAACTTCATGTGGAATTCTGTGGCCAATATGTTCTATTTTTGTTTTGGCTAGGTTCTTTTACCGTTGTGGAAGTCCACGACACAAGAAATACAACTGCGCCTTCAATGTCAGCTGCTGGAACCCGAATTATTTTCACACTCAGACAAAATAGTTGGCGAATTTTATGCCATGTGTGGCGGGTTTTTAATGCAATGCCCCATCCTGCCCAGTCTTTGTCGAGCATGAGCAACACGCGGCTGGAAATTAGTCAACCAATGGTAGCATCAGGAACAAGAAAAATACATTCCTCATATGTACATGCAAGCCGCTGCTGCGCGCTATATCGCATTTTAAATAGCAGCAGGCTGTACTTCAAAAAAGCCCAACACCAATGAAGGCACAGAGACGAATGTGAGTGCGAGGTTCAAGCGCGTAAATAGTCTTGTGACCCGAATGCATGAAATGTAGGGATTGGTTCTTCAAATGTAGTCATGTTTTCCATGGTATCTTAAAGCAGCGATAAAGCAGGCAGCTAATTTGAGTGATGGGGATGAACTGGAGTGATACAGGGAGGGCCATGGCCTTCCCTTCTAGAGCCGCCTCTGCATGACTACCACGCTGCTCAAATTAACAACAATTCTAATGGTTTCAGATTTAAGATAGAAATTGCCTTTTGTTAAAATAAAGTGGGTTAAATCCGCCGAGCAAAAATGGGAGGGGAGATGGGGGGCGGGGGGGGGGGGGTAGGTTGTCGGGCCCTCGGCCCGCCAACCATTTAAAGAATTGATACCCTTGGGCTGGGCTCTGCTGAAACCGGGACCCAGCAGGATGTTGTGATCAACACGATAATGACAACAATGGCAATATGAATGGCAGCTGCTAGGGTAGTGCTGCAGCCGTGGTGAAGGACAGACCTCTGCTAACAGGGGACTCCCACCCTGCGCGGGAACCCTTCCGTGGAGCTTGTGCGGGCGCTGCGGCCGGGCCTCTGCCCGGGCGTCCGTGAGCCCGCCTCACAGCCGATGGTCGCGGCACGCTCCTGAAACAGATACGGTGCGGGCGTCAGCAGCGGGGATGCCCTCCACCGGGCTGGTTCCCGGAGGACGGCCGCGCCCATGTGCAGGGAAAGATTGCAGAGCGGAGCAAGCCGCGGGTCGTCCGCTGCGCAGCGTGCTGTGCGGGGTGGGTGACTCAATCGCTTCAGGGCCGTTAAGTCCCCTGCTCCCCTGTTGCGCTATCGTCGACGAATAATCGAAGAAGCTGGGGCGCTGTAAATATCGTCGAAGCTGGGGCGCAGAGCCCGTGTGGGATCTGGCATGACTGTGCTCTCTAGCTTTTCATCGTTGCACTTTTTGTGCATTTTTACCTTTCTTGCGTACGGCGGATGTTCTACTTTTCTAACTTGTGAATTTCTGCTGTCCCTTCTGCGGCTAAGCAATGGTTCAACGCACATTAGCTGGATAATTATACTGATTAGTGGAGTGATGCACATATGCCATGCTGCATAATGACTCTCATACTTGTTGAAAAAATCGGCACCATGCATATGAAGGGATCAGCTTTATGACACGCAAAACTGCGGTTTGTGGGCATTGAAGGGTTGTACGACGGCTGCATATATGAATGGGCAAGTTTGTTCCAAAAGGCCCATAGCTACGTTGCTTTGCACATTTGCATTTGCACCCTGTTGATGCCAGATTATTGCTTCCAAGTGAGAGTGCGCAAGACCATCTACCCTGTAACCCCGCCAGCGAACGTCAGACCACCATTTGGCCACCCTGCGGTGCGCCATCGGTGCAGCGGGCGGCGTACAGAGCACCAACGGAGGCGACTGGCGGACAACAGGGCTCTTCTGACGTCAGACCGAAGGCCGGCCGCAGCCAGCCGGCGGTGGGCGCTTGCTCCGCTCATACGTGACCGGGCGGTCGCACCGGCTGGTCCGCCTGGGGGTGTCCGACGCGCTGCTCCAGCCGACCGCGGCGTACAGCCGCCGCGTCTCTCGGGCTCGACACAGCGGAGTGTGAGGCGGCTGGGCGACGCTCTGCGTACTCATCGGCGCCCGTGAATCGTGCGGGCGGACGCCGCGAGAGCGGGCGCTGGGGACGCTCGGCGTGCGGTGCTCGTGCCGGGCGCAGTGCCTGGCCCCGCAGAGGGCGCGGGCCCCTGAGCGGGTCGCAGTGTATGCTGAGGTCGGCAGCGGGGCTGGCCTCCGCAAGTCGCGTAGTTTCGTGTTCTAGCGGCACCCCCGCCGCCGGGCGCCGCGAGCCCGGCGGCCACATCTGCCGGCCAGCGGGGCCGCCGCGCGTGGAGGTGCGCACTGAAGCTCCAGCAGACAGCGGAAGGTGCGTGTAATCGATTTCACATAGGACTTCGAGACACAGGAGTGGTACGGAAAATCCCTCTGAGCCAGGCTACGACCGCTGCTGCCGCCGTCTAACCTCAAGGTACGCTTACCCCGCAGCTCAAAAAGTGTGCTTTGGCTATTGCCACCTAAACCACGAGCCCGTTTCATAGCAACTGATGTGCATAAGAATCTCAAACTTATACAGATATGCTTCGCAAAACATATGCAGCGAAATCGGAAGATAAAAAAGGAAAGCTGTATATTTTTTCCATATGTAGCGAAATCGTAAAAGAGCATATCGAAGAAGGTAAGCGTTACAAAGTATAAGCTTCCTCTTGCCTCTTAACTGGCAAACACGATAGGCAGGCCCAGTGGCTGCGATAGGCTGCCAATGGCTTACATTCGTCGCATTCTAAATGATTCAAAACAACAAGTGTAAAAAGCAGAATGTTTTGTGCCAAATAATACAATAGCACCCATTTTGGACGCTCAGAACCACCACTGATCATGGACGGCAAATTGTCCTCTGTATGTGCGGTGAGAATACTCTCCTAGGTAGATACCGCTGCTTTCAAGACGGCATCCGGCGACGATGGCGTGTCAGCTGTTTGGGCGTGTTTGTTACCAGTTGTGTGACTGCATTTCCCACCACATCATCGGCTGTCCGCTGAATTATGATCGTCTTTGTGAAACACAGGGTCTTTTTCTGTTTTCTTTTAGTGCACACGAGCGTCGTCGCTAACGGCGGCACGTGTCGGAAAATTTTGGAAATGATTTGTAACGCCTGCAATATTCCCAGAAATGCTTGCTAATCTGAAACAGATATGTACTTCTAATCAATATCACCGTGTTCCGCAGTTTCTTACAAATGTAATGAGAAACCACAAGCTACATTTGAAGCATGTACCATCGGTAAGGTCAGGCTAAAAGCTGATCCCATGTTGGAAGGCTGGGCTGAGTTTTGGTGGAACTATAGGTCACAGCCATTTTGTGCGCACATATTAATGGTGAAGTGAACTTGATGACTTGACATTACCCGCGGCCTCCCGTCTCTGCGCGTCTAGTGCGCGCCCTGCTTTGTCTAGTTCCATGAGCCGGCACGTGCACTGCCGAGCATGATCCGTGCGTTCAGCGAAACGGCTTCAGTAGCCAACGCACGGTAAAGCACACGATCTATCTAAGCTTTTAGCTATACTGCGTGTCAAACCTCATCACTATCTCCATGTGTGTGGCGTAGGCTTTGCTACATTTAAGGCGTAGGTATCTGCTGCACCGCAGTTTCAACTTCATTGCTCACCACAACGGAAATGCAAATTGACAAAGCCTGGTCGATAAGTGGGCGACCGATTCAAATTCGGGGCCTTGAAAACCCTATTAGGTATCAAAAGCGTCAACAAAGATTCACCTAATTAAGTTACCTTGTGTGACCCTAGAAAGGTCAAGAGACAATGTGCAAATATCAGTCCAGATACGTTCTTGTCTAAATCTCTCAAAATGTGCAGTCTGGTGGATGATGCCATGCCAAGTTGCAGTAATCGGCGGTTTCGCTCAAAGTGGGCGGAGGATGCTCCATTCACGACCTCATAGCTCCGTTACCTGACATGACCTGACCGATATTTTCATTAAGAAAGTTGCGGAAAGCATGCACCAGATGGTGCTGAAAATATCAGCACGACCCGCCAAACGGCACGGCGTTCATCTCGGACCTTCAGCGGGTGTCGCACTGACCCCTGCACCGGAGAGGGCTGAGACCAGGGCGACCGACGGAAAGTCGCACTTGACTACAAGATAAGGCCACGTACCCTTCCCTGCTCTGAGAGGTGGCATGGCTACGTTTTTTTATGTCAATGATGACATATTCCGCCTTGAACCAGATTTGCGTTACGTGCTGACAGGTTGCTACACGTGAATTATATAAAATATGCGTAGTTGTATAGAAACAGGGCATGTGGTTCAGTGTGATCAAACGTGGCTGGCAAAATTATACTGAACAAAATTATACTGAACAAGTTGAGCATCCGACTTTGAAATTGGATATGCAAGGCTAGCAGAACAATCCGTGCCACTTATTTTAGGACGGGCAAAGGCGACGTTTGCTGGCTTTGTCCCCCATATCAGTCGTTTTTACGATAAACAAATGCAATGAAAAGTTCTTAAGAAAGGTTTTTCAAATGTTCAGATGAATGTTTGGTATGTACTTAACGCTCTGGTTAGGAAATGTTGCTTTCTTGCAATTTCTGAAGCAGCAAAAGGTTTACCACGTGTATACGAGTAGCAAAAAATAAAATGAATTAGGTTAAGTTAGACCCTGTCTAGACATTTCTTTAACCAATGCCTTTAGCTCACCCAAATTTAGAAAAGTACTTTTTCTGGAAATCAGCAATGTGAATCGGTCGAGGACGTTGGATACTGGGTGTGCCATTATTGTTTACATCTATGCTAAGTGGGCGGGACGGGCTCTGACGATCATTTCATTAAAAAATCATTCGTCTTGGATTATGTTACGGTATGCAAGACTTGTAACCTCTGAAGTATTGTGCGCAGGCTCTGTAAGTACAGTAAACAAGCTCTGTAAGTGCTGTAAGTAAGCTCTGCAAGTACGGCATGCCCATGAACGGAGACGCTGCAAGGATATGAAACAATTTTAATGCGTCTGCGTCAGAGATGCTACCGAATGTTTTTAGAAAGCTCTGAAAAGTCTCAAGAGGAAAACGTGTGGCATTATACCTGTCAATAAAAGCATGATCTTGTTACAGCCCGCCATCCGCAATTTGATCAAGTTATGCTTTTACGAGCGTGTTGTTGGCTACCTTGCGGAACATTTTTAAACCGAAAATCGCCTGCTGTAAAGTGTTGTGGTTAAAAAAAGACGCTGAAAAGTTTTAGAAACTGTTTTGAAATGTTTTGTACCGTACCCCTTCGTTGAAAACGGCTGCGAACAAGGGTAGCTGTTTTGGGACCGAAATGTGCCATTCATGTCAAGAACGTATCGATTTAGATTTAGGCGTACGATAGCTACCTTGCCGGTTAAGAATCTCATGATTGCAACATCAGACTGGTGCGGGCGCGGTACGTGAGACCGTTGTGCACAACGGACGAAGCAGGGTTGGAGCTGATGGCTTGTCCCGACCGGCGCGCGGCTGGACCCCGAGGGTCGGCCGCCTACGACTGCATGAGGTTCGGGTGCTGGTAGTGCAGTGGTTAGCGCGTCTGCGCCAGGGTGAGTAGCAGGCGACGCCATGTAGCCTCAGTAGCGGAGTGCGTCGTATAAAGCCACAATCACCACAAACTGCATGAGGTTCACACCATCACCGTTCACTTTGCGTTCCGCTGCATGCGTCACGTAAACAGCGAAGCGCGATGAAATCGGCAGCATCTTGCCAGTCAATGCTTTAGTATGTTTTTGATCGAGTGGAATGTTGAAATGAATGGACAAGGATAGACTTGCCACACTGACTTAGTATGCAATACTGCATGGCACGCTAAGCGATGGGGTTATGAAGTCGCTCATGTCCCTTAGTGAGGCTTGCTAAATGTTCTTCGGACTTGCCTTCAGAAAGAGTTTGATGGCATTTTGTCATGAAAATATGTGCATGATCAGTAACTTCTGTGTACGCTCTACGTGCTCTTTCTCATGCTGGAAGTGGATATGCAAGTTCTTACTGACTATTTTCAAGAACTTTATTATCCCGATATACCTGTGGCGCAGGACATGACAACGCGTTCTGTCGTAAAAGGAGACTAAAGAAAGGGGGATGTGGAGCTCACATCGTGTGTGGATGGGAGTTACTGTACGAAGAAGGTGTCATGCTTTCCAGTTGCTTTATACACCTAACACTCGACACTTATCACACTTACACGTTATATTACACTTGCCACTTTATTCTGGAGTCCAGCGTATGTGTAGCCCACCCCAAAGTGCATGCCGAACGGAACATTCTAGGCTAGCGTGGTGTTAACAAAGTGCACGCTCCAAGATTGTGAAATAAAATTGTTCAACGTGTTCACTTCACATCAAGGCGGCAAATTCCTCTAACCTTTGTCGATGTCCAGTTCTCGTAATTGTCTATTCTAAGCGTTGTGCCGTACACGGATTTACACAATGATGCCGTGCACCGCCAAACGCGGATTACACAAGGTATGCACCCGACCGAATACCGAACCCTAAAAGGGGTGGTGACAGCAAAGTTGTGTTCAGTCATTCGGAAAATCGGCGCTGAGTCATGTTTCGTACCCGCACTAAGAGGGTATGATCGCAAAATGGAGAGCTTTTACGTTATCAAAATATGCTGCGAATTGCAGCACATATTTTGTCCATGTCCTTTTCTTTACGTACTAAATGTCGAACTATAATTCCAAGGATAGACAGTGTGGTACGTTGAAAGATGGGTGGAAAGCACTGAACCGATTTTTTCACACACCGCACACGTGCAAAGTAATCTGGATTGTACAAAATGCGTTCCTAGTCGTGTTATTTACCACTTGCAGCCTTCCACCACCGCGCGCCACCACTCTTCTCACCAAGTAAATGACCGTGGCTGGCACGTGATGGTTTTGTCATGTCGTCACAGAGGTTGTCACGTCACATCATTTGGGCTTTACGACGCACCCAGCTGCTGAGGCTGTATGACGTCGCCTGCCTCTCACCCTGGCGGGAAGGGCGGGCACCGCGGAGAATCGAGCCCCGTACCTCTGGTTTCCCAGACTTGCAGTGGTTAACACGGACGCGTTAACCACTACACTACCGGCACCCACATGATGGTTTTGTGTCGGTTTTGTCTGCGTACATAATTCTACTTGCTTTGTGATTAATTCAGACATTCACCTGGATTCTATTGTCGGTTTTCAGCTCTCGTTGGTTCTTTCGGTAGAACAAGACTGCTGGCTTTAGCTTCCAGTCTGAGTCTTTTAACCATACGAAATCCCAGGATTGTGGCTGTCATTTTTTTCTCTCCAGAAAACTAGGTTCCACACCCCTGTTTCTTCTTATTCTGGCTTCTGATTTTCACTGTCTCTTTTGTAAAACACGACCAAGGATCCCAGTTCCCACCGTTTTTTCGAGACCCTGGATACTGATCCCAGTGGATCTTTTGACAAATGAAGACGCTGTTCTTTCAGCAACACAAAACCCTGAATCCGGGTCTCCACTTCCCCTTGTTCTTCTGTAAATGCCCTAGGTTCTCATAACTTTTTTTTGTTAACAGACCGTGTCTCACGTAGGTGTTTCATCCGTGGACGAGCCCAAAGTGAATATGGAGTGCTCCGAAAGTTTTGAGACCTAAACTACCCCTAGCCCAAAAACACGATCCGGCACAGCCCGAATCTTTTTGCCGTAAAAAGTAAGGCAGCATACTACAGAAATCGACACAATGGGCATGCCCTGATTCTGCTACAACAATAAAGCGTTACTGCTTGGTGTAGAACATGGCCAGTGGTCACTTGCTAAAAGAAACCATTCACTCATTGCTTGTAGATATCAGTGCGCCTGAGCTCATGGTTCATTTTGTTTTAGATTCGCGTACATGTGTACGCGATAAAGCAGTATCAGCGTGATGTTACTTTTGGCCTAGAGGCAGTCTGTGCATGTGAAACAATTGTGATTGCTAAGTTGTGATAATGCCCTGTGACGTTTGGATGGTTTGCTGGTGATATGTTTATGTGATTGTTTTAAGCAACCAAGCAGCTTACGTAATACTTGGTTGATAATCGTTATGGCTGCACCACAGCTGACTAACATTTACTAGTTGTTCTTCCTGCAAATTTCAGGGCCTGGTTTCGGTGACTCTCTTCACACAAACACAGACCCTGACAACGAAATTCAGAGCCCGGTTCCAAGCCGTCCTGTTTTTAGGAAGAACATTTTTAAGACTGACTCGCCAAAACTCCGCGCCGTTGATGCTCTCAGATATTTTCCCAGAAGCGATCTTGCATCATATGGTGATGAACGGACAGAAGGTGCATGTTAGAGTGTAAATACGCTTTGCTGACAAGCTGACATCGGTCGCATTTTCACCACACCACCAGCCTATGTCGCAGCTTGCACGCCGTCGCACACACGTACAGGGTGTTGTGCTCCGCATTGCCATGGACACCACGTCAGCTGAGCTTTATCCGTTTTATCCGCTGGTAAAGCGTATTTCTATATGCTGGCAACCTCTGCTGATCCAGAGTTGACTCGCACCACCACCAGATAGTACTAGATAAAAGATATCCATGTGACATTAGATATTTAGGTAGTGATACTAAATATGCACGTGCCCACCCACGTAGAGAAATTACATTTTGGAGTTTAGGTCCCACGATCATTATATAATTGCCAAATTCGTATCAAATACAGATCTATGTATGACTCAGTGTAAAAAGCCAGTAAGAGCTTTTGCAAGTACACACCATCTGCTATAGATGGGTACGCATGCCTACAACGGATATAAGAAATCAAGGAGCTGGCAAATTCATTTAATCATTATCAGTGTTGTGGTCCAGGTCGGCTTTTCCCGAGTACGGCTCAAACACCGTATTAATCCCACCCCTGTCACACTTATCCATTTTGTACACCAATATTTACTAAAGGTCTTGTAACATTTATTGATATAGAGGTAAATCCATTCCCATCAAACCCACGATGAATCCAAGAGCAAAGGAAGGCGTCGAAAGTTCTCAGAAGCTCGCAGACGGGTGAGGGGGGGGGGGG